AAGGAGAGGAATGTTTCAGATAACTCTCAAGTGTCTTCCATGAACTAGATGGCAATCTTTTCACTGAGAAAGGGAACGTGTTTCTCTATTAACTTAATTATAAAATGTTGATATAAATATAAATATAAAATCTTAAGCTAAAATGTGGCTTTTTCACAAAATACTGTATTCTGTGGTTTGATGTTGTTCTCGGCTAAGAAAAATACTATAATGCTTAGTTGGCTTGGCTGTTTTGAATTCCATTACTTGTCCAAAGAGAGATCCACTGCAGGATGACCCCGACTCAGCACATACTAGAGGGTTCTGGAAAAATAGAAACATGAACAATTTTTAGAAAAGTTGCACTTCAAGAGGCTGTCCACAAGTCTGTAGTCACAGAATCCAGGGAGAACTCTTTAATATCAGAACAAAATTAAGTTCTGTATTTCTCAGTTGAAAAGTTTTTATTTTGAATGATATAGTGGTAGTAGCAATGGTAGTGTGTATGGTGGCGATGGTGGTGGTGGTGCTGGTGGAGGTGGTGGTAGTGGCGGCGATGGTGCTGTTGGTGATGGTGTTTGCAGTACTAGTGGTGATGATGACAATGGTGTTGGTGATGGTGATGGCATTATGGGTGATGGTGATGGCTTTGTGGATGATGCTGATGGTGGCAACTTTGGTGTGTATGATGGCAGGCTTGAAGGTAATGATGGTGGTTATCGGAGCCGTCATGCACTCATTACTACCAAGGAGTGCGGTTGGGCTCTGAGAAGCAGACTAAATTTCCCATTACTGAAGCCTGGGCTAGAAGGCAAGATTATAATAGAGTGGCAGATTACTGACTCACTTACTCATCTTTGCCCCCTCCAGAAGTGAAATTGGATATAGATGTGCTAATCACTTCGCTTTTATTGTTGTGGGTGGAAGGAGGCAGGAGAATTTGGGGGTGGGGTGTTTCAGCGTGATAGTTTGTGAGTAGGATCTCTTCCTGGCAGGGTTGTGCATGGCTTGAGCAATATCTTTAAAAATATTAAAAGAGGATTTGAGACAGCTACTGTACTATTTCTCCTCTTCTCACTGCTGTACTTTACCAGGTGGGAAGGTTCCTTTTTCCTCTTCTGCCATGACCTTTATCTTTTTTAATCCACTGTTTTTGATCTCATTGTCTCTGGATGACTTACACTTCATGGAAGCATGAGCTTGGACAGTCCTTCTGCAGGTCCTGTGTTCCCTGCTTTCTCTTCCCCTATAAAACCTAGCATTTGGTTCATTATAGATTATTCTGATTTATTTCTTTATATTCTCTCTTCTCCCATTGGAATAAACATTCCACAAGGACAGACTGCTTTGTCTATGTTTTTATTTCCAACACTAGAATAGTACCTGGCATAGTCAGGGCTTAACACATATTTTTTGAATGAAGTTTTTTAACTGTCCTTTTACCTGTTAAGTCAAATAGATGTACTAATACATATGGTTACCATGGACATTACTATGTACATTATTATGTACGTAGACTGTCTGGCCCACCCAGCTTGGCATAGTAAGGGCTGGTGAAGGGTTAGGAGCCTCTTCATGCTCCCTGTCTTAGCATTTTCTCTGCTGCAACCAAAAGACCTGACAAGAACAAGGTACAGGAGGGATAGTTTATTTGGGACTCATGGTTATAGAGGTCTCAGTATAATTGGCCAACTCCATTGTTCTGGGCCTGAGGTGAGACAGAACATCATAGGTGGAAGAAAGTAGTTAAGGACATGGAGACAAGGGAGCAGAGAGAGTGTTCCTCATGGAAGACAAGATATAAACCCCAAGGGCATGCCCCCTTTGACCCACCTCCTCCAATCACTCTACCTGCCTATAGTTTCCTCCCAGTTAATTCATATCAGTGGATGATCCACTGATTAGGTTTAGGCTCTCGTAGTTCAAGCATTTCACCACTGAACTTTCTTGAATTGTCTCACACATGAAATTTTTGGGGACACCTTGTATCTAAACTATAGCACTCCCATTTCTTATAACTTCCTTCTCTGGTATTTAGAACACTGATTCCAGTTAACTTCTTGCCTCCTTAGAGATGCTTCTGTATTTTCTCCATAGCTTGTCTCTCTTGTTTTCTAAATGGCCTTGATTTCTTCTCTCCTTCAGCTTATTAACCAGACTTTAATATTATTAATTAAATATACCATTAATTATAATTATGATCATTCTAATATGGAATTCTTATGGTTATGGAATTCATGTGTTATTTTCTATTGCTGTTAGCTATATTAAATGTATTATTCACCAACTATCCTTAACATCATGAAAGCCCATGAGGTAGCTATCATTATCTTCATTTTACAGGTGAGGAAACTGAGACTCCGAGAGGTATATACACTAGGAGTACAGACCTAGTAAGCAATAGATTAGAACTCATTCTTGGGTTTATTTTTTTTTTCTGTTTATCTATTCATCTAAAATGGTATTTGTACTGGCAATGCACCATATGCGGGGCACAAAGCTAGGCTCTGTCTACACAGTGAGGAAAAAATTGATATAGGACCTGACCATGTGACCTCACCTGGGGTCACAGTGATCATTGTCATCATCACTTGTGCTCTGCTGATCATTTTCATCATCACTTGTGCTCTGCTGAACACATGAGACATGAGCGGGTGCCCCCATGCTCATGTCTTATGTGAACCCTGACCAGATGTTTTTACTTCTCTATTTCAGCCTTATCTCAACTTTGAATATTTAAATCTGAATTTATTACCTCTCTTTCTCTCTCCAAATTATATATTTTTCTAATATTACATTATTAAAAAAATCACCTCTCATTTTTCTTGCCACATAGGCTCACAACTTTGGAATCATTTTGATCCTCCCATCTCTTCATTTCATATTTTGAATTCATTCCCAAAGCCTCTTGGTTGCTTTATCTTTGAAAAATGTCTTTTACTAGTCTCTACCTCTCAAATTCCTCTCTAGTGTTCTAACATCATGTCCCATGCTTGTATCCACTAGAATATCCTCAAGGCTATGTGTTCATTAGTTTTATCCTTTAAGATTCCATTAGATTTTAAGATTCCTTAAGGCACAGACTCTGCTTCTTTTCATTGTTGTTATATTATTTCTCCAACAAAGAGAAAGGTTTATCTCTGTCCCTAGTACCAGGCATGTACCAATAGACATTCAGATGATTAGTAAATTAAAGTACTTCGATGTTTCAGACCATGGTTATCAAACTTGTTTTGGAGGTTTATGTAATGGTTAGGAGTTTTATCTGAGATTATGTGGTACTATACAAAGGCTGTTCTCTGCATCTCCATAACATACACTGCATTTTTTTGCACAGTAGATTTCTTCCCGCCTCCATTCGTGTTTGCCATTTATTTTGCCATCTCCTGTCACTCATCAACAGGGAGCTGAGTCCAAAGCCCCATAAAAATTTATGTTTGAAAGGTGTAAACTGGGAAATATTCCCCCTATTCAGAAACAGCTCTTCCATTTTTCGGGTGCTACCGTAACTCTTATAAACATTGTTTGAGAACCACTGGCCAGTCATTGGTCTGCTGATTGTATAAGTGTGGAAGGCATCAGGCTATTTTTTTTTAACCATCTCCTTATTTTTCTCACTTGAAGCAAATTGCTTGAATCAGGTATGGTGGGTGCATGCCATGGTGGGGCTTACAGCTACTTGGGAGTCTAAGGAAGAAGGGTGCAGACCTGCCTGGGCAACATAGCAAGACCCCATCTCCCTGTCCAAAAAATAAGTAAATAAATAAAGTATACAGTTAACAACACCAGTAGCCTGAAAGAATTCTCATTCTTAAGAACATTTGAGGTTGAGCTTATGGCATTTCTAAATGCACATTTCTAAGTGACACTTAGAAATCATTAATCCTATTGACCATTCAGAGAAGAAATATTCTTTAAGATTCAAATTGGGGCAGAATAATAGCAAGAATTAATTACATCCCCAAATAAATCTTTTTTATAAATAACTTACTGACTAAATCTCTTATTCATTAAGATAGCTGGCCTTTTTTTATAAGGATAATAACTATAATTTAATGTTTATTATATAATGTCTTGCATACTGCTGCAGAAAAAAACTTGAATGCTGTGTAACAGATGCTGTTGGGACTTAGAATTTGCCAAATCATGATTTGGACCTAAGCATCTGTCAGCACTATCAGCAGTAAGACTTTTTTTTTCTTTTCTTTTTTTAAACTAAAGAAAATTGACTCAAAGTGATATGGTTTCCTTTAAGTCCTTTTTCTCGTACTGGAAATTATGTAGTGACAAAATCCAGCTTTACCATGTAAGCTAACACTGTAACATTTATTGTGTAGATTAGAAGATAAGATTTCTAAAAATCTGACTTTAGTGAATAAATAGTATCTTTCTGTAGCAACTGTATCAGATAATATTCATTCACTCAAAAATTATTAAACTTCTACCATGTATTGAGGATTTAGCAGTGTAGAAAATGAACATAATTAATGCTTTCTTGTACATTTTAGTGCAGAAGTGCCAATAAACACATAATTTCAGATAATAAGACACACCAAGAATAAAATGTACGGGACAGTACTAGGGCGTGAGGAGGAGGGCTGCTTCTGATTAGGGAGGTCAGGAGGTGTTCTTTGGGAGGTGATATGTGAGCTGAGCTAATGCTTAGGTGATGAGGAGAGTCAATTGTGTTCAGACCTTGCGGGAGAGCAGCCTGGGCCCAGAGATGGCAAGTACAGAAGTTTGAACAGCAGACAAGTACTATGTGTTCAAGAAACAGAAAGCTAGGGTGCCTGGGGTGTGTGGACAAGGATGAGACTGGTAGGAGATGGTGTTAGAAAGGCCCCACCAAACACAATAATGTGTCCCAGTTCATTTTCAGGAGTCTAGATTTTATTCTCTAGTCAGGGGACCTCACTAAGGGATTTTAACAGAGGCATTGTCAGATCTATAGCTACCAGCTCCAACTGTGCATTGTTGAAAGGTTTCTTTTAAATGGACATAATTTTCTTTGTATCTTACAGAATAGACCAGAGGGCTACCAATTGGCCAAAGGATGCTTTTGAAACTCAGCAGGACTTAAATGAGGTAAGTGCAATTGTTTCTGGTCATATGAACATGAATTAAACGATCATGAAATTTACTGTTATTTTTTTGACAGTAGTAGAAATTCTTTCTGATTAAAACTATAAGTATTTTTGCTCTTTAGTAAACTTGTCGTGCTTATACTCCATTGTTCAGTTGGAATGCTTTTCCTTGCTATGGTGCAAACACATTCAAAATGTTATTTTAGAGATTGTTCACCATGTCTTGTACCTGACACCAGTCCAGTAGTCATTTTATCATACACTTTTCACATTTGCTTTAGGTTGTATAGCCATGCCTGTGGTTTGCAAATTAACATTTGTAACATTTTTTCTTAATTTTATTTATCTGCATCTCTGTTTTTCCCATTGGCCTTTGCATTCTCAGATATAATTGTGCTTATTCTTTATTCACTAAGCCTCATGTAGACTGGTGTTTGCAATATGGTCTTCTGAGTAAGTATGCTTTGAGAAAAAAGCCATGTTTCCTAATCCAGATAGTTTTCCACTGAACTGGACATCACAACGGTAGCTTATTCTAGATTGTTTTGCAATATAGAATTGAATTCTAATGATGGAAATCAATATAATTATGATGATTACTTTTATGAATTCCTTGGCTTAAAACATTGGTTTGGAATACCCAGTCTGATTTTTTTTGTCTTCATTAAATCAGAGCAGAAGATGGTATGTGGTATGTCTAATGGATTATAGAAAAGAAAATAAAAAAGACTTGACACTCAGATGCCTAGATGAGAAATGATGGACTTCAGACAAATTGTTTATTTGACATTTTGAAGGCACAAGGGCTGTGCCCCTCAACACTCCCATAAAAAGCATTAAACTAAATGTAGGTGTTTTCCAGTAAAACTTGGCAAAAATGAATAGTCAAAAGTGAACTAGCTATTTGGTTAAGCCAAGTAAAATAGCTAAAGTTGTGAAAAAATGTCTTAAAGGTAACAGAATAGTGTGAGTTATTTTTCTGTATTCATAAAGATAGCCCTTAAATTTCACACCCTTACTTATGGTAACAAAAAAGTGGAAAAAGTCTCAAAAGAAAAGAGGCAAGAGCTTGAAGCATGTGTGCAGCTCTCTGCCCCACTGGGAACAACCGCAATGCTAGCTGTAAAGAAGCAGTGATTTCATTTTAACATAGGTGACTAGAAAAATTAGGTGATTGTAACAGTAGATTCATGATAACTTTCAAGTATTTGGAAGAAATTGATTTTTTAAGCTGGAAACCCGTGAGAATGCTAGGAGTATTTGAGCATTCCTAAATCACAGTTGTGAAAAGCTTTACTTAAAAAATCTGCTTTTCTGTATTCCTTCACTGTATCCAATTTGCAAATGATCTGAAATGTGTGTATTCCTGTGACATCATATGGGCTCAAGAGCACTGAATGGAAATGCGCATTCTAAAGGGCAGGCGGTGCTGTATTTTGAATGTGACTGCCTCCAGGCAAAGGTTGTGCTAAAGATCAGTTGAACATAGAGAGCATGTGCTCCATCCAGATAGTTTTTTTTTCCAGTCAGGGTGTAAACTGTATGTACTAGCCCATATTCTTTTATGCAGCTTCTGTTGTGACCACAATTTGGGGTACTGAAAGAGACCTTAGAGAAACGGGAAGTGGGGCAGCATGAGTAGAAAAGAAGTCTCAGGGGAGCGTCAGTAGGGTCACATTCATTGATTTAAAACAATCTATAGAATGGAAATCTAAAATGTGTCCTCGGCATTTCTCAAACTTAATGAATACCACACTCTGTTTTTTTCTTTTTTGGTACCGAGGATTGAACTCAGGGGTGCTTAACTGTTGAACCAGATCCCCAACCTTTTTTTTATATTTTATTTAGAAACAGGGTCTCACTGAGTTGCTGAGGCTGGCTTTGAACTCAGGAGCCTCCTGGCTTAGCAACCCAAGCCTCTGGGATTAAGGTGTGCACCACCACACCAAGCAAAGACTTCACTCATATGGAAGAACTGCCTAATAATAGTTTTTAGGTGATAGAGTCCGATGGAACATGGATGGGAAGCTTTGCTTTGTTATTTTTAATGGAAATAGAAAATATATAAGGGCAAGTGCATAGATAATAAACATGTAGGTAGATGAATTCTTAGGAAATGAGTAACCAATACCTAGATCTAGACAGAGAACACCACCAGCATCATGGATATCTCTAATTCTTTCAAGTTACTACTCCACTTTGAGAATAATTATTATTCAGATTTTTTTGCCTATTTTTGAGTCTTTTACATATGAATTGCATAAAATCTTTTGCATGCTTGACTACATTTGTTCAATGTTATATTTGTGAGACTTATCCATGTTTTGCATGGGGTTGTAGTTTCCATTTGCCTTGAGGTAACCAATTGCATTGTTTATTTCTATTTTTTTAAACTATTATGATCAGGTGTTATTTATTGTAATCTCATTATGAACTGTTTTCTTTTTAAATTTTTTTTAATTTTTAATTTTAATTTTAATTTTTTTAAAAAAATAAATGACAGTGGAATGCATTACAATTCTTATTACACTTATACAGCATAAAGTTGTATATAAAGTATGTTGACACCAATTTGTGTCTTCATACATGTACTTTGGATAATGATGTCTATCATATTCCACCATCATTGCTAATCCCCTGCTCCCTCCCTTTCTCTCCCACCCCTCTGCCCTATCTAGAATTCATCTATTCCTCCCATGCTCCCCCTCCCTACCCCACTATGAGTCAGCCTCCTTATATCAGAAAACATTCGGCATTTGGTTTTTTGGGATTGGCTAGCTTCACTTAGCATGGTATTCTCCAACTCTATCTATTTACCTGCACATGCCATGATTTTATTCTCTTTTATTGATGAGTAAAATTCCATCATGTATATATGCCACATTTTTTAATCCATTCATCCACTGAAGGGTATCTAGGTTGGCTCCACAGTTTAGCTATTGTGAATTGAGCTGCTATGAACACTGATGTGGCTGCATTATGATAGTATACTGATTCTTTAAGTCCTTTGGATATAGATCGAGGAGTGGAATAGCTGGGTCAACTGATGGTTCTATTCCAAATTTTCTAAGGAATCTCCATACTGCTTTCCAGATTGGTTGCACCAATTTGCAGTCCCACCAGCAATCTATGAGTGTGGCTTTTCCCCCACATCCTTGCCAACACTTATTGTTGTTTGTATTCTTGATAATTACCATTCTGAGTGGCTTGAGATTAAATCTTAGAGTAGTTTTGATTTGCATTTCTCTAATTACTAGACATGTTGGGCATTTTTTATCTATTTATTGATTGATCATATATCTTGTTCTGAGAAGTATCTGTTCAGTTTCTTAGGCCATTTGTTGATTGGGTTGTTTGTATTTTTAGTGTTAAGTTTTTTGATTTCTTCACATATCATGGAGATTAGTGCTCTATCTGATGTGCGTGTGGCAAAAATTAGCCCCCCAAATGTAGACTCTCTCTTCACCTCATTGATTGTTTCTTTTGTTGAGAAGAAGCTTTTTAGTTTGAATCCATTCCATTTATTAATTCTTGATTTTATTTCTTGTGCTTTAGGAGTCTTGTTATAGAATTCAGGGGTTGATCTGACATGATGAACATTTGGGCCTACTTTTTCCTCTATTAGGCTCAGGGTCTCTGGTCTAATTCCTAGATCATTGATCTACTTTGAGTTTTGTGCATGGTGAGAAATAGGGATTTATTTTCGTTTTGCTGCATATGGATTTCCAGTTCTCCCAGCACCATTTGTTGAAGAGGCTATCTTTTCTCCAATGTATGTTTTTGGTTCCTTGGTCTAGAGATACAAGAGATATCTTATCTATGGGATTTCCCATCTATGGGATAACTCTATTTATGTGGGCTTGTCTCTGTGTCTTCTATTCTATACCATTGGTCTACATGTCTATTTTGGTGCCAATACCATGCTGTTTTGTTACTACAGCTTTGTAATTTTGTTTAAGGTCTAGTATTGTGATGCCTCCTGCTTCACTCTTCTTACTAAAGATTGCTTTGGCTATTCTGGGTCTCTTATTTTTCCAAAGGAATTTCATGATTGCTTTTTCTATTCTATAAGGAATGATGCTGGGATTTTAATTGAAATCACATTGAGTCTGTATAGCACTTTGGGTAGTATGACCATTTGACAATATTAATTTTGTCTATCCAAGAGTGCAGGAGATCTTTTCATATTCTGAGGACTTCTTTGATTTTTTTCTTTAGTGTTCTGTAGTCTTCATTATAGAGGTCTTTCACCTCTTTTGTTAAGTTGATTCCCAAGTATTTTGTTTTGTCTTATTTTTTTGAGGCTGTTGTGAATGGGGTAGTTTTCCTAATTTCTCTTTCAGAGGATTCATCACTGATATATAGAAAAGCATTTGATTTATAGGTATTGATTTTATATCGTGCTACTTTGCTGAATTTATTTATTAATTCTAGAAGTTTTCTGATGGAGTTTTTTTTATCCTGTTAGTGTAGAATTATGTCGTCAGCAAATGATAGTTTGAGTTCTTCTTTTCCTATTCATATCCTTTTAATTTCTTTCATCTGTCTAATTGCTGTGGCTAGAGTTTCAAGTATTATGTTGAATAGAAATGCTGAAGGAGGGAATCCCTGCCTTGTTCCAGTTTTTAGATGGAATGCTTCCAATTTTTCTCCATTTAGAATGATGTTGGCCTTGGGTTTAACATAGATAGCTTTTACAATGTTGTGGTATGTTCCTACTATTCCTAGTTTTTCTAGTATTTTGAACATGAAGGGGTGGTGTATTTTGTCAAGTGCTTTCTCTGCATCAATTGGTATAATCATATGATTTTTTAAGTCTATTGATGTGATGAATTATATTTTTTTGAACCAACCTTCCATCCCTGGAATAAACCCACTCAATCTGGTGCACTATATTTTTATGTTTTTGTATATAATTTGCCAGAAATTTATTGAGAATTTTTACATCAATGTTCATGAGGGATATTGATCTAAAATTTTCTTTCCTTGATGTGTCTCTAC